CCGCGGCAGCCCCCGAGCAGGCGACCCCCTACCTGCGGCCTCTGCTGCGGTTCGCGGCAGCGCACGTCCCGGCGCGGAAGCACAAGGAGACGCCGCTGTACATCCTGTGCACGGCGGGTATGCGGCTGCTGCCCGAGCGGTGAGTTCGCGGCCCTTGTCAGGCGAGCCAGGGATACGCTGGGGTACCTCAGCCTCGAGGCAGGGCAAGACAGCTGCCTGGTCTTAGACCTTGCGGGAAAATCGAGAATCCTGTGGGGGAAAATTGAAAAAGGAAGAGGCGCGTTGTAGGGGCAAGTGGCGAGGGATGCAGGAGGGTTTGAGCATGGTGGGAAGCATCTGAGAGGAGATGCTTTTGATTGAGGATCTTAAACAAGTAGATCTATTTTTCATCTCCAAAACATGCTGGCTGCAGCAGCAGAGCTTGTGAGGTTGAACGAGGGCTGTAAGTGCAGTGTAGTGTAGTATGACTCCTGATCTCTTCACGTGCAACGCTAGTGAAGATGCCCTAGCATCTGTCCCTCTCCTGCACCCTTACAGGCAGCAAGCTGCAATCCTGGACGACTTGGTGACTAATGTGCCCCTGGAGTTTGATTTCCTCTTCTCCAAATCACATGCAGAAGTGATCTCAGGGAAGCAGGAAGGTAGGAGCTACCACAAAGCACTGCTTGTTCCTCTTTAGTATATTGTTGTAATGACCTTTTCTACCTTGTGCAGGTGTCTATTCATGGATTGGCATCAACTTTGTCCTGGGGCGGTTTGATCATGAGGATGGTGAGTCTGGCTGTGTGTAGAACAGCCGGGAGGGTCTAAGCAGAGCCATGTTGGACCTTGTACCAGTGCTGTAGCTAAGATCAACCTCTGGAGTAGGCAGCAATGCCTGACCCCTGTCATTTGTGTGAAACTTTCCCGGACTTGGGAGGTGGCCCTTGCAGGTGGCCCTTGGGGTCTGCCTGCAGGGGTGCCCCCTGAGGCAGCTGTGCAGTGGTGGTGGAAGGGAGAAGATGCTGCCCCAGGCCCTGCCTCTTGCTGACATGCTGCTGTGGGTTGCAGAGGAGGATGCAGTGGTCACTGTAGCGCTGGGGGACCAGGGGAAGTCCCTGGTTCGGAAAAGAACAGTTGGGATCCTAGACATGGGAGGCGCCTCTCTGCAGATTGCCTATGAAGTACCCGACTCCGGAGCCATCTCCTCCCCACAGCAGGTGCGTGTCTGGTCCTCAAGAGCAGCTCCTGCCTTCCCTGGATAGCTGCTGATCATGGATTTATCTGTGTCAGCAGGAGGAGGCTGCTAAGAGCTTGCTGGCAGAATTCAACTTGGGCTGTGACGTGCAGCACACTGGCCACATGTACCGTGTCTACGTCAACACTTTCCTGGGCTTCGGGGGCAATTTTGCCCGGCAGCGCTATGAGGAACATGTGCTGAACCAAACCTATGTGCACAACCGGTATTGCTGCCTCACCTAGTGGTGCCCCCACTAGGGCATTGTGAAATGGGGTGCTGGTTCCTTCATGCTGTGCTACCCCCTTGGATTTGCCTCAAGAGCCGCCTGTGGTGATAACAGCTCCCACAGCCATGCTGGCAGCAGCTGTGTGGCAGTGGCAGGTGCCTGGGCTGGCACAGAGTGCTTGGCTGCTGCTGTTCTCCAAGCCTGGCAGGCGTTATCAGTGCCACAGCTCCCTGCCTTTGTCCTTCTCTCCTTGTGGCAGGCTACAGGGAGGCCCTTCCTAGTCGCTTTTGGCTTTTCCTGCTCTGACTTCCCCTCCTCCAGCACTGATTCACTCAACACATCTTTCCATTGCATCCCCACCTTGAGCTCTCCTGTCTCCTGTATCTCCTTTCCTTCCAAGAGCACTTCATGAAGCTGTCGCCAGAGGTGGAGAGGCTTGGTGCCCAGGTACTCCTGTGCCGGGAGCAGCCCCTGCCTCCAGATCCCCAGGGACTGTGCAGAGGCACAGATCCCCATGGGCTGGGTGGGGTGGGCTGTGCCTTGTTGCACCCTGCAGGTGCTCACAGCATGTAGCTGCAGGCCAGCGTGACAGATCTGGCGAGTTCAGCCTTAGCAGGAGGTGTCAGGACAGACACCAGCTCTGCAGGATACAAGAGGACACAGCCTGGGCTGGTGCAGAGGGTATCTGGATGTGGGACAGGGCTAGATTAGGCTTTTGGGAGGTAGTATATTACCCCTTGTGCAACTGCCTTTTTTTCCTGGACTGTTTTCCAGGCTGCACAGCCAGCAGACAGGGCTGAGCCCCAACATGCCCTTCTTGGACCCCTGCCTGCCTGTGGGGCTGGAGGACACGGTGGTAAGGGGTGACAAAACCCTGTACATGAGGGGACGAGGGGACTGGCAGACCTGTGCAAAGCTGCTGCAGCCCCTCCTGGCAGAGTCCAATGGCAATTATACCTCCCTGGTGGAGACCTACAAAGCACCCATTGACTTCAGCAATAGCGAGTTTTACGGCTTCTCGGAGTTTTTCTACTGCACCGAGGACGTGCTGCGCCTGGGGGGCCAGTACAGTGCCTCCACCTTCACCTCTGCTGCCCAGGTGCGTGCTGCCCCAGCCCAGGGGAGCTGGGCTGTTTGGGCTGTTCCTGGCGCTGGGAGTGAGGGTGGTTTCTTTGCTCTGAACCCCAACTTCTCCTTCCCCCAGGAGTACTGCAGCCAGCGATGGGAGGTGCTGATGCAGCGTTTCCGTGGTGGCCTCTACTCAGCGCATGCTGACCAGCACCGGCTGAAGTAAATGGACTTGCTGGGAGGGGCCACGGCTGGACCTCCTGGGGGCCTTTTGCTGGAGCAAGAGAACTGGTGCAGTTGTAAGTGTCTGGCTGATGCTCCTGTGTGTTGTGCCTGCAGGTATCAGTGCTTCAAATCAGCATGGATGTACCAAGTCCTTCATGAGGGCTTCCAGTTCCCACTGGACTACCCCAGCCTGCACACAGCCCAGCTGGTGTACGACCGGGAGGTGCAGTGGACGCTGGGAGCCATTCTCTACAAGACGCGGTTTCTGCCACTCAGGTACCATCGGCTCGCTGACGGCATCACATAGGGAAGGGTGGTTGGGGAGGAGCAGGATTAACTGCACTGGGTGAGGGCTCTGCACAGATGGCAGCGGGACCCTGGCAGTACCCCACTGCATCTCATGGCCAGTACTGACACTCCTTTCCATAGGGATCTCCGTCAGGAGAGCATCCGGCAAGCACACGCCTCCTGGCTGCGCCTCTCCTTTGTCTACAACCACTATCTCTTTTTTGCCTGCATCCTGGTCGTGGCGCTGGCCATCGTCCTCTACCTCCTGCGGCTGCGCCGCATCCACCGCCGGCAGCTGCGCTCGGCCCAGCACACCCTGCTCTGGCTGGACAAGGTGGTGGTGCCGCTGGGCCAGGGAAGCGTGCCATGATGCCAGTGGGACCCAGCATCCAGTTGCACCAGCAGAACTAGGACTGGCAGACAGCCTGGGCTCTGAGAGTGACCATCTCAAAGTCTGCACTCCATCGTCTCTGCATCAGGACCAGAGTCTGTGGGCTGAGGCAGCTATGGACACAAGAGCTTTCCTCTCCACCTTGCCCCAGTCCTAATCTTTGCATTCCTTGGCCTCTGGCCTTTGCCCCAGTACGTGGTGTAGAGCAAAATCCTCTGCTACCAGCAGGCTCAAGGCTGTAGCCCTGGCAGATCCCTCAGATAACAGGACACTATCACTGAGGCAGCCAACCCAGGGCTCTGGCCTGAAGCACTGAGCCACCCCATGACTCAGCCACCAGTTTACGGAGCAACCTGGTGGTGTGCTGTGGTTCATCACCTGGGTTGGTGGCTTTCTGCAGGCCCTGACAAGCCTGGGGCTGGGAGAATGGCAGGCATCAGCTAAGTTACTGCAGGAACAAGGCAAACCATGAGTTCCACCAGGCTGCTCTGCCCAACCTGGCCCCTCTTAGAGTATTCCTGAAGGGGTGTCCTGCTCTTTGCTATGTCTTCCCTCTGAGGACAATCCTACAGTCCTACCCAACATTCCAGACTGAGCCCTGAGGGCTCACTGATTGATTCTTGAGGCACCACCAAAGTGGGCTCTTTCATACATTCCCTCCTGGGCACGGCTGCCCTGTGGTGTCCCAGGCATTAGTGTCAGGACCTGTGGTTCTTTCCTCTATGAGTGCGGGCTGGACCTGCCCCGGGAATAGCCACCTCAGTCCAGCCCAGCTCACAGCCCCAGGACAGGTCAGGGCTGCAGCTGTGCACACAGGCACAAACCTTCCCTGGGGCTGGAGCCCCACTGATGGTCCAATGAAGTTTGTCACTTTTATTGAATTCAGCTGTTCCCATTCCTGTAGCAATAAACAAACCCTTTGAGCCATCCAACACTGGTGTCATTTCCTAGTGAGCAGCTCCCAGCAGTCATGGCTGCTGGTTGGTGGGGTAGCTGCATGTCTGCACAGCTCTGCTGCTGCTTTGTGCTGCCACAATGTGACCATGGAGCTCCTTTCCTGCCAGTATTGTTCTCTGATTCCAGCAGGACTGGACTTCACTGAGCTGGTAGCAGCAAGGGGAGCTCTGATCCAAACCAAACTGTTGGGATCCTTAGAGACAGCATCCTTTGCTGCCCTCTTCCTAAGAGGAAAGGCCTGCCCACTCAGAGCCCCTCCAAGATGCTGGTGTATGCTTCTGACCTTATTCCCCACCTGAATCTTAGCTGCCTGGAAAAAACGCTGCTGCTCCAGCGCCATGGAAATGGCCCCGGCACAGCTGCAAGAGACTGGGCAGGTACCCAGTTCTCTGTGTAGCACACACAGTTTCCTCTCTCTGACCCTGGTCCCACAGCATGAGTGCACAGGTGGCATCAAGGATAAAACTTTCCATGCACCAGTGTGCTTGCTGACCTGCTCAACAGCTGAGGATCCCAGCCTTGTTCTCACGGTGCAAGAACAGTGTTGGGGAAAGGAAAGGTGTCTGAATAAGGTCAAGACTGTTGCTCAGCCTCAAAGCAGCAAGTGACTCAGCCTCTAGCATGACTTACTACAAAAAGGATTTATTTCCACAACACAAGTGAAACAACGCAGACAAATAAATAAATAAATACAGGTAAATTATCTGATAAATAAGGGGAAACCTGAAACACAATGCCCTACTTGGCTCTTCTCAGAACCTGGACCAATCTTGTGGTGGAGTTTCCTAAACGCTACTGCAGCTGCCTCACTGCTCAGGTGAGAGACAGACCTCTTTTCATCCCCTCCAGCACATCCCAACACCTCCCTTATCACACCCAAAGGGGTCTGCATGCTCCTCCAGGGTCAGCTCTCCCTTCTCCCACCCCCAGCACAAGGGACTGACCAGACCACAGAGGATGCAATGGCTCCTGTGTTCTCACGCAGACAGGCAGCCAGTGCATGTAATGACCAGGAACAGGGACAGGGCAACTAGTTGGGCAGCTTGGGCTACGAGCAGGGATTTCATGTGGGGGGCTAGGGCTGCTAGGGCTGAACACATTAAGAGGGTAGGACAAGCACTGCTGGGACAGGACCTGCTGACACCACACGCAGATCCCTCACAGGATGGTGCTCAGTCACTGCAGCACTGGGCCAGCTGAAGGGATCTCTCCCTGGTAGCTTGGCTGCTCCTAGTGTCACATTGGTAGGCCCTCGCCCAGGGGTGCTGCCTGACACGCTTGGGGGCCCAGCCATCCATTGGTCCAGGCTGCAGTGCTCCAGGTGTGCTTGGGCAGCGGGTCCAGCCTCTGTCCCAGCACCTCTGGGGGCTGTCTGGCACAGGAGGGTAGAGGCTGGAACAGCTACAAGAGCTAGGGGAGGGAGAAAGGAAGAGAAATTAGCACCAAACCACATTCACGAGGGAAGCTCCCACAAATTTGAGAACTACAATTCTTGATTTGCCCAGGCCCAGCGCAAAGCCAACAACCTCCCACTGGAACCAGCTCACCACAAGCCACAACGCACAGAAGCCAAAGCACTTCCCCCAGCCCAACAAGGGCCAAGCTGCAGCTCCCTCCCCAGCCAGATACAGGCAGGCAAGCAGGGACTTCTCTGCCATCCCAGCTCTCTGCCCACTCACGGTGATGGATTTGATGGGGGTCTCTGTTGAGGCGCCAGCTCTCAGGGACTGCTCACTCCCAGAGGAAGCGCACGTACCAGATCGTCTCGTTCTTCAGCTGTGGCCCGAACAGGGGGTTGGCCTGGGCCAGGATGGCAATGAGCCAGCTGCAAAGAGACACAACCCGCCGTCAGCCCCCTGGCAGGACCAGAGTGCCAGGAGCGGCTGCTTCCCCGGGGGTGATGGGCCCGGGAGGGAGGCGGGCCGCAGCCCGGGGTCTGTCCTATCCATCCATGGAGGAAGCTAGGCAGCAGCCACCAGTCCCGGTGAAGCCAGTGGAGGCGGGGGAAGGGTACCAGACCCAGCCCGCGGTACTCACAAGAGGTAGCAGCACACAGCGGTGGTGACCAGCATCGTGATGATCACCCTGTGGAGACACCGGCGTTAGCACGGGAAGGCCCAGCTCCAAAATCCCCGACTCACCCTCACCTGCGGCACCCCCGAGCCCCCACTCACCCGCGGTTCGGCCCCTTGGGCACGAACCAGGGGGCGGCAATGCCCACGAGGCCCCAGAAGGCGGAGAAGAGGACGAGCGGCAGCGCAAAGCTGTGCGCCGTCATGGCCGCTCCGCACCGGACAGCGCCCCGCCCACTGCCGCGCCGCGCCGCCAATCCGCGCCCGGAGCGCACCGCGCTGGCCGCACCGTCACCTCTCATTGGCGGAGACGTTCGGCCCAGCTCGGCTCGGCTCGGCCCGGCCCGGCCGCCGCAACCCTCCGCACCTCGCTCGGCACAGGAGCACCAAGCCAGACACATCCGCTTCAAAAAATTCCTTTATGTTACAAAGTTCGCACTCACACCCGCCGCCGCCGCCACCGCCTCCCGCGCCAGCCCGGCTGGGCACACATCAATCTGCGCACCCGGGGCTCGGGGACTCGGCCGCCCCCGCGTCCAGCGGTGCGGCTCCTCGGGAGCGCTCTCCCGCCGGTGCATTACTTGGGAACTCTCCGGAGCTCGTTCATGAGCCACAGTGCCATGCTGAGCAGGGCCAGGGAGCCCGACTGGTGCGTAGCAGCCAGAGGCGTAGGGACATAAAGCAGCAGGGTGCTGATGCCCAGGCCCACCTGCCAAGAAGGGAGAAAAGGTAAGAGCAGTTGTGGATACACCACTGATACCATGCCCAGCACAAAGTGTGGTGTTAGAAAGGCTCATGAGCCACCCCAAATTCAGAGTGTGCATGCAGTATGGTGAGGTGTGGAGTCTAGGCAGCTCTGCCTCTCAGCTCTGGACTCTTGGAGCCAGCATAGATCCAAGTGGGGTCAGCTCTGCCTTGTGAATGTGCTCCAAAGGAGTAGGAAAAAAATAAGGGTTGTACCTGCACACAAGCTACGGCCAGTAAGGAAGTCACAGCCATCCTGGTCCTTCGAGGGAGTGGGATCTTCCTTGAGAAGAGGTACAGTGCTGTGACAGCTGTGACGGAGGCAATTCCCTACAGAAGGGAAGGGAAACAACCATCCTTCAATGAAAGCTCAAGGGAAATGGGTGCAGTGGCCTTTGGCTGTGCCTTCCATGCAGTAAAAGAAACTGTGCAAGCAATATTTAACTAAATAAACATATTAATGGCCATGACCAAATCCTAGAGCTTCCATGCCATCAGGTTAACAACCCTGAAATTTAACTGAAGTTATGAAGACTTTTATTTTGCTCCAGATGAATGCTTTACTTCTCAACAGCTTTTCCTTATTTATTCAAGTCATTAGGGATTGTGTCTGTCCTCTCCCCAGCTGTCACCCTGACAATTGAAGGTGGAAGCTGTCATCTGGAAAACTGATCTCATTTCCACCACTCAGCTATAGTTCACCAGCATAATCTTGCTGTGCAAGTCACCCCAGGTGATCCAGCTTAATCTTTCTTTTCTTAGTCTTAGCCACAGCTTAGTTCACAGCAGTGCTGTCAGTGGTGCTTAATATCCGGATTGCTCTGAGTAGCTGAGATATATTCATAGGGCACTACTGTGCAAAACAAGTTCAGAAATGCTGGAGGAAGCATTCGATATCAGGATTTCCAAGTTTTATTTTACACAGCTTTCCCACACATTCCAATAGAAAGGGCTACCCCACACTGTAGCTCATGTTATGGAAAAGGAGACTCAAAGAAACAAAGTGTGTTACTTGCGCAGGAGGAAGACCTCCTTAAGGAAGAAGGCCACACTGAAAATAAGTAACAATGCTAAACTTCCTCTTCCTGCAGAAGCAAACTGGTAAGACGCTCTCAGGCCCTTTGGACACCCTAGAAATCACTCAAGCTGACAGAACCACAGCCCAAAGAAGACAACTTGGCTGCAGGAGGCAACCAAGAAGCAGCCCAGACATATCAGGAAGACAGCACTTACCAAGATCCTGTGATCAAACTGTACAGTCGTAGGATTCTCAAAGATATTTCTCAGCATGGGGGAGAAGGCAAGGAGATCATCTGGGATCCAGCGCTCCCCCATTTTGGGGAAGGAATTGTACACAAGGCCAGCATCCAGCCCTGCCACAAAGGCACCTGCAATTCCAGAGCAAAAAATGAGACTACCAGAATAGACAAAGGTGTCACTCCAGGTTGCACAGCACTCATTTAAGAGCTCAGCTTGATCCTGAATTTCTTTTAGCAACATATACAGAGATCACATAGCACAGGCAGGCTGGAAGGTGCATCTCCACCTGTCCAGGAAAGACCAGTGAGGAGGTTCTTGACTGTAAGATCCCCGACAGCAGCAGCTTTCCCAGAGAATGGATGGGGCTGCTCACAGTCCCCACCAGATCAGAAGAAAAAAACCAAACCAGCAGAGAGGAATGAGTCACAAATTTGACAGCAGAAAGAGCGAGCTTTACCTGAAAGAGCAGTAAGAAAAATGAGAGCTGTAGTGCCATGAGCATATTGTCTCAAGCGAAGGAGCTGTTTGGTTTCTGGCAACTGTAAAATAAAAAAAAAATAAGAAAAAGAAATAATCAATGCATTTCCAGTGCTGTTGGCAGCAGCTAAGAAAAGCCTTCACTATATACATAGGCCGAAGAGTTGGCCTCTATTTTACAGGGGGATTTTACAGACCACTACACAGCAGCCACACTTCAGTAGTCTCTCAAAATTACAGGTAATTGAGTCCAGCTCTGTGCAGAAATTGAAGTAGCCCCTGGACAGTTACTGGCACAAATCACTTAGTCCTGCCAGGCACACCCTGGCTGAGCTTCCACAAATTCTGAGACTAATCACTTTTGACCCGAACAGCATGAGACAAAGCAAATGTCCCATAACCAAGAAGTTTACAGAGTGGGTATTTTGTAACACTGAAAGTATTCTGTAAGTATTAGATCAGAGTCAGGAACAGAGACTACAAGAAAAGCACCATCAGCCTTCACATGACACCCCAACCCTCTGAACTGACATTGCCCTGGGCTTTTAAATCCTGACACACCACTCTGTACCTTGTGTTGTGGAAGCAGCAAAGACAGCCCTGTCCACAGGCTGGCAGAGTACAGGACCAGCGCAGAGCCCAGGTGTGCTGCCAGACGGTACTGACTGACCCGAGGGATGTCGTAGGAGTCTGGCTTCTCTTCCAGCCCACTCTTCACCATGTACCATCCCAGCAGTCCCTAACAAAACAGGAGACGGTTCAGAGCCAGACAGGACAGCAGCAACTACTAAAATGGGATAAACATTAGGGGCAAAGCAACTTGTTTCCTCTACTTTCAACTAGCTACCAACACTGACACACTGTCATGGTGTCACTGACACCAAGCTATCATGAATCTCACTGTCTTAGTGATGCTGAATCAGAAAATATCAAATTGACAGAAGGTAGGTTTAGATTAGATATTGGGAAAAAAATCTGTGCTGTGAGGGTAGTGGGCAATGGAACAGGTTTCCCAGAGAAACTGTGGACACCCCATCTCTGGTCAGGTTGGATGGAGCTCTGAGCAAACCGGTCTAGTGAGAGGCATCCCTTGTTCGAGGGTTAAAACTAGATGATCTTCAGGTCATTCTGTGATATTCAGACGTTGTCACTAATCCCTGCAGAGCTCTCACCTGGAAGCAGACCAGCCCACAGAGCGCGAGGACACGGCCCTTGAGGGGCCGGCTGAGCCAGCCCCGGCGCCAGAAGTAGGCAGCAGGCAGGATGTAGGCCAGGCCCACAACGCGGCCCCACATGCGATGCGAGTACTCCATGTACCAAATGAACTTGAACTCCGGCAGCGTCATGTCGTGGTTCAGGCTGGTAAAGGACAATAAAGCAACTGTTTCACAGCCCCTCACTGAACTTTGCACCACATGGGATTGCCTTCCTCAGAGAAAGGCAGGGAACAAAGGAGCCGCCACCAGGCAGTCACTGTGGCTTCCCAGAGACTTCATTTTCCTTCTTACAATAGTTTTATGGGTGCATCAGTTGCAGGAGGTGCTCTCAGCCCACCCGCCTTGCAGTTTTGCACACTCACATTTTAAACTCTGGGAACTGCTGGTACTTCTGGAACTCAGCTTCCCACTCCTGCTGCGTTCGGGGGGGTTTCATCTCCTTCACCAGGTGCCAATCAACCATAGAAAGGCCTGATTCTGTCAGCCTGGGAGTAGAGACATGAACAGGCAAAACTCACTCCCCGACAGTAAGCAAATCTACTGAACTGAAGTGAGAGCTGTTGGCTGCACAACAATCCAGGAGCTGGGACTTCGATGGCCCTTGTGGGACCCTTCCAAGTCAGGATATTCCGTGGTTCTATGCTAAGTCTTAAAACCCTTGCTCAGACAATCCTTAAGCTCACAACTAGAAACAGGATAGAGATCAGAGTCTGTGAATGACCAGACCTAAAATGACGATAAATGCGTAAGAGTTACCCCACAGACTATGACCAGTCTCTCCGGTACTCCCAGCCCTATCCCACCATGTTCCTTTGCAGCCAAGAAGGGAAGACACGAGAAGAGCTCTCACAGGCTCCGGGGTGTGGGGACAGCCGCAGAGGGTCCAGGCGGCGGCACGGACCGGAGACTGCCCCCAGGGACCCGCTCTGCGCCCCTTCCGGTGGGGCTGGGGGTGCCGCGCTCACCTGGTGACGCCGCCCAGCACCACAGCACCGGCTACGGCACCACTGCAGGCCAGCAGCCATCGCCCCACGGCGGGCGGCGGAGTAGCGAGCTGGGGCGCCTGTTGCAGCAGGCGGCGCGGAAGGCAGAGCCGCGGAGGGAGGCGGCCATGTGTCGGCGGTGGCGCTGGCGGTGCGGGTCCCCCCCGCCCCAGCAGCTGCCGGGCCCCGCCACGCGCCGCTCGCAGCATCCCGAGCCACCCCGGAAGTGTCGCCGCCGGAAGCGCGGGACGAACGTTTCCGGACCCGCCCGGGCGTCGCCATGACGATCGCGCGGCGCGTGACCGGCAGCGCAGAGCAGCGACCCCCGCGCGCCGCCAGCGCAGGTGGTGAGGGCGCGTGCGGGACGGGGGCGGGGCCCGCGCGCCGGCGGGGGCGGGGCCGAGGCGCCCGGGGGGCGGGGCTTGCGCGCGCCGCGCGCCGGCGGGGGCGCGCCCGGCTCGCGTCCCGCGCCTCGGCCCGCCCGCGCGCCCGCCCTCGCGCCAACGGGCGGCGCAGGCCCAGGCCGCGAGGGGGCGGGGCCGGAAGCGCGGGCAG